GTTTTTCAATGTTTTGATTTTTAATTTTTCTTTCCTCAGTGCAAAATTTTTAAATTTTTCGGTTTGTAATTTTTCGGTTTTTCAACTTTTACATTTTTTAATTATCGTTTTTTCAATTTTAGATTTCTCAATTTCTCGATTTTTCAATTTTTCATTTCTTTAATTTAAATTTTGGAATTTGTCTAGTTTTCGCTTTAAAATATCCATAGTCTATAATTATAATTTTTAAAAATTTTCACTTTTTCAATTATTGGACTTTAAAACGTTTTCATTTATTAAAGTTTATTTTTCAATTTCTGGGCATTTAATTTTTCAGCTTTTCATTGTTTCAATGTTATGTTTTTCGACTTTACGACTTTGACGATTCCATAATTTTCCGGTTTTAAAATTGTTGAGTTTTCCAATTTTTCGATTCGATTGATTTTTTCTTCTTTCCAATTTTTTGATTCTTTAATTTTTTTCGATTTTTAACTTTCTTGATTTTTATTTTTCCAATGTTGTAGTTTTTTGTTTCTTCAGTCCTTCCATTTACAGTTTTTTCTTTTCTTCAGTTTTTCGATTTTACAATTTTTTCCGATCTGTCAATTTTTTAATTTTTCGATTTGTAATTTGTCGATTTTGTAATTTTGCAATTTTTTGGATTTTCGATTTTTCAAAAAATGGTTAAAATTTGTTCAACTAACCGAAAATTCATGTCAAATTGAAGACAATCTTCCACCGGTTACAAATCTGAAATCGCCTTCATTCATTGAAATAAAGGTGATATGTATATCCAAAATTTTCACAAACTTCCCAAAAAAATGGTTAAAATTCCAGGTTCAATCGACCGAAAATTGGTGTCAAATTGTTGACAATCTTCCGCCAATTACAAATTAGAAATCGCCGTCACGAAATCTGGTTCAATAAACACGAAAAGTGAAATCAAAATTTACAAAAATTTTCCAAAAAAATTGCTAAAATGGGTTCATTTGACTGAAAATAGATGTTAAATTGTAGATAATCTTCCGCCAGCTACAAATCTGAAATCGTCATCAAGAAATCTGGTTCAATAAATACGAATTTCAAAATTTTCTAAAGTTTTCCGCAAAAATGGTTAAAATTTGTTCAATTGACCGAAAACTGGAGTCAAATGGTTGATAACCTTCCGAAAGTTACAAATCTGAAATTATTGTGAGGATATTTGTTCCAATAAATACGAAAAGCGAATTAAAATTTTCTCAAAATTTTCCAAAAAAATGGCTAAAATGGGTTCAATCGACCGAGAATTGGGGCTAAATTGTGGATGATTTTCTGCCAGTTACAAATCTGAAATCGTCGTCACGATATTTGGTTCAATAAATACGAAAATTGAATTCAAATTTTTCAAAAATTACAAAAAAAAAGGTTCAAATTGCTTCATCGACCGAAAATTGGTGTCAAATTGATGAAAAAGTTCCGTCAAATACAAATCGGAAAAAGCCGTCACGATATCTGTTCCAAAAAAACAAGAAAAGTGAAATGAAAATTTCCAAAAAATTTCCAAAAAAATGGTTAAAATTGGTTCCATCGATTAAAAATTGGTGTCAAATTGTAGAAAATCTTCCACCAGTTACAAATCTGGAATAGCCGCCACGATATCTATTCCAATAAACACGAAAGTGAATTCAAAATTTTTAAGAACTTTCCAAAAAATGGTTAAAATGTGTTCATTCGCCCGAAAATTGGTGTCAAACTGTACACAATCTTCCGCCAATTACAAATCCTGAATCGCCGTCACGTTATCTGTTCCAATAAACACCAAAAGTGAATTCAAAATTTTCAAAAATTTTCCAAAAAAATGGTTAAAATTTGTTCAATCAACCAAAAATTGGTGTTAAATTTTAAATAATACCGTCAGTTACAAATCTAAATTCGCCGTCAAGGTATCTGTTCCAATACACACGAATAGTTAATTCAAAAGTTTCAAAAATTAAAAAAAAATGTTAAAATTTGTTCAGTCGACCGGAAAATGGTGTCAAATTATTGATAATCTTCCGCCAATTATAAATTCAAATTTGCCGTCACGCTATTTGTTCGAATAATCACGAAAAGTGAAATTAAACTTTCCAAAAATTTTCCAAAAAAATGCCGAAAATGGGTTCAATCGACTGAAAATTGGTGTCAAACTGTGTACATATAAACTTCCCCCAGCTACGAATCTAAAATCGCTGTTGTAACGATATCTGTTCTAATAAACACGAAAAGTGAATTAAAAATTTTCAAAAATTTTCCAAAAAAAGAATTATTAAAATTGGTTCAATCGACCCAAAGTTGGTGTCAAATTTTGGATAATCTTCCGCCAATTACAAATCTGAAATCGCTGTCACGATATCTGTTCCATTAAACACGAAAAGTGATAACGAAATTTCCAAAAATTTTCCAAAAAAGTGGCTAAAATGGGTCCAATCGATTGAAAATTGGTGTCAAACTGTATATAATCTTCCCTTAGTTACGAATGTAAAATCGCTATAGCGACATTTATTTCAATAAACAGGAAAAATAAATTCAAAATTCTCAAAAATTTATCAAAAAAATGATTAAAATTGGTTCAATCGTCCGAAAGTTGGTGTCAAATTGTAGATAATCATTCGCTAATTACAAATCTGGAATCCTCGTTACGATATCTGTTGCAATAAACAAGAAAAGTGAATTCAAACTTTTCAAAAAATTAAAAAAAAAATGGTTAAAATTGCTTCAATCGACCGAAAATTGGTGTCAAATTGTAGATAATCCTCCACTAAATACAGATCTGGAGTTGCCATCACGACATCTGTTTCAATAAACACGAAAAGTGAATTTGAAATTTTCAAAAATTTTCCAAAAAAAACTGGTTAAAATTGGTTCAATCGACCGAAAATTGCTGTCAAATTGTAGATAATCTTCCGCCAGTTACAAATCGTAAATCACCTTCACAACATCTATTGAAATAAAGGTTAAATATAATTCCTAAATTTTCAAAAATTTTTCAAAAAGTGGTCAAAATTGGTTCAACCGACTGAAAATTGGTGTCAAATTGGAGAAACTATTTTGCCAATTACAAATCCGAAATCGTCTTCACGACATCAATTCAAATTAAAGAAAAATTTGATTCCAAAAGTTTTTAAAAGTTTTCAAAAAAATGGTTAAAATTGGCTCAATCCACTGAAAATGTGTGTCAAATTATAGATAATCTTCCGCCAGTAACAATTTGAACGCTTAGCGAAGAAACTGACGTATCAAGAATGCGAGCGCAGCGAGCACGTTCAGGTGTAATTTAAAAAATTACTTATTGGTATCCCTGAGAAGCTAAGTTTGCATAAGTAATTATAAAACTATAATGTTAAAAGTTCGGAGAAATTTAGTAGAAATCATTCGGCAAAATTTTGAGATAAAGTCATCATTTTTTTGGCAGGTTAAAGGGGATAAATTTGGATTAACTAATTATCATCCCTAGTAAATACGAAAACTGGACTCAAAATTTTCAAAAATTTTCCAAAAAATCAATCGACTAAAAATTGGTTTTAAATTGTAGATAATTTTCCGACAATTACAATTTTCAAATCGGCGTCACGATATCTGTTCCAATAAACAGCATAAGTGGACTTAAAATTTCCAAAATTTTTCCAAAAATTGGTCAAAATTGATTCAATAGACTGAAAATTGGTGTCAAATTGTATCTAATCTTCCGCCAGTTACAAAACCGAAATCGCCTTCCCGACATCTATTGAAATTGCAGTAAAATATAATTCCAAAATTTTCCAAAAAAAAAAAATGTTTAAAATGGGTTCAATCCACTGAAAATTGGATTCAAATTGTAGATAATTTTCCGCCAATTACAATTCTGAAATCGCCGTCTGCTCCAATAAACACTAACAGTGAATTCAAATTTCCAAAATGTTTCCAAAAAAATGGTCGAAATTGGTTCAATAGACTGAAAATTGGTGTCAAATTGTAGATAATCTTCCGTCAGTTACAAATCGTAAATCACCTTCACGGGATTTATTGAAATAAAGGCAAAATATGATTCCCAAATTTTCAAAAATTTTCCAAAAAAATGGTTAAAATTGGTTCTACCGACTGAAAATTGGTGTCAAATTGGAGAAACTATTTTGTCAATTACAAATCCGAAATTGTCTTCACGACGTCTATTCAAATTAAAGAAAAATTTTATTCCAAAAGTTTCTAAAATTTTTCAAAAAAATGGTTAAAATGGGCTCAATTCACTGAAAATGTGTGTTAAATTGTTGATAATCTTTCACCAGTAATAATTTGAACGCTTAGGGAAGAAACTGAAAGCCGATTCGTATACTACAAGTATAGGAGTATATATAGAAATCATTTTCTAATACGGTTCATTTAACCATGTGCGTTATATTTCTAATATACATACCAAATTTGACAACAATCGATCCTGCAGATTCGTAGACACGTGTTGTGACAAAAATGGATACAGACACCAGGCAGAGAGACAGACAGACGGACGGAAACCGGAGACTATTTTTTTCGTACTGTAGGGGTCATGAAACCTCGAGAAAACAAACAAATGGCAATTCGTCCGATGGACTCGATTACCATACTTCCTAGCTTACGCTCAGGAAGTAAAAAGAGATGTTTTCAAGAATTTCTGAGATTTTCAATGTCCTCTGGAGTATTGTTTTTGAAATAATTTGAAACAATCATGGGAACATTTATTAGTGTTTTCTTTTTTAAATAATTTTAAAGATTCTTGGAGTCGCTAGTGTTTAGTTTTTGCAAGAATTTGACAAAAATTTTCGTACATTTCTGGTTGACTATGTACAAATACAACACACAAATTTCAATAGTCGAATAAATTACTGATACTCTAATTTTGCCCTAACAAAATGGTACACGTGTCAAATATGCAGCGACGTCACAGCCTGCGCCATCTATGATCCCTCGCTGAATCTAAAAACAAGTGCTGCAGCAGTTTGCTTCTTTTTTACTAAAAACTGGTAAACTCATGAATGAAATAAAACACAATATCGATCTGATTTTTTTATTCGTATTTTCCGACAATAAATAAGTTATATAAACAATGAAAATAAAAATAGGCTCATATTGCAAGTAAAGCAAAATAAGAAAAATATACAGCAGACATGGCTCAACCACGAAAATCTCGTACCTTAATCGCAATACATTCCCACAATAAACAAGGACAATAAAAACATTAGAAACATAAATACAAAAGCTGGACACCCTTCCAACTTAGTTTTTCTTAAAACTCCGCAAAATCGGATATATATTATCCAGAGATTCCTTAATAGCATCCCGCGACTTGGACCCCGTGAACACAATTTTACCGTTAACAAAAATCAACAAACACAAATGCGGCTTGATCATCCTGTAAATAATCCCTGGGAAAAGCTCAGGCTCGTAGCTGCAGAATTGTCCATGCAGCAGACTCAAACTTTCCAATTTAATGGGAAACCTGAGGTCGCACGTCGCCACCAAATTCTGAATTTTGAAATTTTCGAACTTGATCTGGAAACAAAAATTGTATTTGTGTGAAAACACATCACTGTATTTACATTAAACCCTAGTTTTTGTATAATTCTGGCGAATTTCTTGGACCCTAAAAGCGCGTCGTGCTCGCTTTTCGCCCCCGTGCACACGATTTTGCCGGTCTGAAAAATGAGGGCTGTGGTGCGTGGGTCCCGTAACCGCATAATTAGCCCGTGGAACCGCGATGGGTTGTACTCCGAGTTTCTGGTTCTAGCGTTGATTAGGGCCAAATCGAGTCGTGTGTTAAGGTCCACAGTGGTGACGCAGTTTCTACAATGAAAGAATTATTTGACTCATTTACACTGATTATTTACTTACTGTATTGTGATGTTTGTAAGCGGTTCTCCGGCGGCGGAACCCGGGGTTGCCACAATCATGTTACTCTTACCAGGGGTCTGTGGCTACAATTAAGCATTCATTGGGGGTTGTAATTATAAGCGCGATTTACTCACCGAGGGGAGAATTGCCGGACTTGCGGACCAATCCGGGGTTGGAACAGACGGCACGGGGGTTGCAAACCGGGCCGGACTATTCAGCATAGCCCGTAAATGCACGTCAGAGGTTTTCTGTTCCATTTTTATTCAAAAGTTTGCGCTTGTCCGCAAGACCAGATGGTATGACGTTTAGGTTATGTTGTTGCGAAAGTTGTGAAACTAGTGAGTGAAAGTGTCACTTTAGGGACTTTGTGACGGAAAGTCAGGGTTGCCACTGCCAACATAAAAATGACCTAACGGGTTAAAGTACAAATGATTGTTATCAGTTGTTTATAGGTTGTTTAAACAATTTTGTAACAAAATTTCGTTTTAAATGTCGTACCGACGAGAAGTAGTTCAGCTTTATAAAACAGTAAGTGTTGATTTTTTTATTTGGTTTCAAGATGGTGCGGCGTTGCCGCGTTTTCCGGCCAGCTGTTCGCGTCACGTGATTAAGATTTAGTAGATTTAGGACAAATTTATAATCGCCTAGTTTTCGGTTTTCTTGTTTATGTTTAGTTATCAGTAAAATCCTTGAAGATTTATTATTTATCACGTAACGGCGAAATATTTCAGAATTTTCATTAAAATTTGAGGAAACGTACTTGTAAACAGTGTTTTACTAATTAAAGTATATTGAGCTAAACTGTGTTAATTATTTTTATTGTGGTGAAGTAATACCAAAAACATTTATTAAAAAAAAAGGAAACCCATGTATGAACAAACTACATAGATGAATGATAGAAATAAGCGAGAAAGAGGTTTGCTTTCTTGTGTTGAAAGACATTTTAATTTTTTTTTTATTTTTTAGTTGTTACACTTGGGGAAAGATTATCCATCCGGTTATGATTTCTTCCGCAAACGTTTACACCGAGCATTCATGAAAAATAAAGATGAGAATGATCCAGAAAAAATCAAAAACATGATCGCTCATGGCCAGTATATAGTAAAAGAGTTGGAAGCTTTGTACATGCTGAAAAAGTATAGAACTTTAAAGCGAAGATACGATCTGTGATGGATGATGGATGAAACACACACAAACTGGTCAACAGGACGAGTGATATGATTTATTTAGTTTGTTTTTTGTCTACTTAACAAGAGCAAGGTTGCCACATTTTATTAATTTCACAATATAATAATATTATCATACTTATTGTTCTTTAATAACATTGAAAAATCAACTATACAATGTAATAATAAGTAATAATAATAAAGTGCTATGATGCTATATCTAGATAAGGAAAGCCGTTTACAGATTTTCTTTGTTTAACTAAAACTATGATCACGTACAGTTACATTCCTAAAATATTGCCACTCCATAAAGCTCGTGCAGGACTACATGTTGTATTCGTCACCTGATAACAATAAACGGAACGAGATCACTCACTTTTTCAGCTTTACCAAAAGTCATTTCGGCATAAGAACTAGGTGTGTGCTGATTTCTTACTAAATAAATAACTTGGGCCCATATAGTGGTGTTTGGGAGGGTACATACATAAAAGGGGCCGTAACATTTTCTCTAAGTCTGTTTACATACTTTTTTATTTTACACAACATTGTTAACATTATTTATAGGTATATACAAGAAAAGAGGAAGAATAATATCATTTTCTCGAGTACATCCAGTCTGATGATATTTTAGTCCTTGTGGGCAGGATCAACCACATCAGAAACAAAATTTTGGAACGGAATTCCTAATCTACATCTTCCCAACTCGGCATTTTCCTCAATGCCGACGCAATCCCGACAATATGCGAAATTGTTGTCGTTGTAATCACATTTAGATGTTTAGTATAGGCAAAAATTACGTCATTACAATTGTCAGAAGAGCCACATTGTGAGGATTGCGTTCAAAATAAAAAAAATTGTGCTCCGGTCTTTCAAAATGATGCAACGAATTGTCGTAACATTTCTAAAAGCTATTAATTTTTCTATTGTCTGTCTGATCTAATCATCTAATACTTATTGGCGATCTTTTCCGCGTTTGGGTTTCCATTCAGTAATGTTGTCGGTTAACTATTATGAATTTCGAACGAAAGGACTGATTGGAAGAAGGCGATCTATGTACAGAAACCAGTAATTCGTTGAAGGCAAGCCGAGTAACCTTTGGAAAATCATTTCTGTTGTGTATACCAGAGAAACTAGGTTCTAGCAGGTTACTCCATAGAGTTACATCTAGTATCATCTTCAAATAGTTATTTATAAAATATATGTTAATGACATCTATGATGTTACAAATATACACTTATAATAACCGTTTCCGTTTAAATAAGTTAGTAACGCAGATTGTTTTCTCATGCTAGGGAACCAATATCTGAGTAAACCTACAACCAGACTTTAGTCGTACGTACCGAAGCGGTGTGGTGGTACCGACCTTATTAATATTAGAATAAATCAGCGTTGTAAGCGATCAGCTTCTTAGTCCTTCTTTTCGTCTTCAGGGTCCTTGAGTGTGTGCCACTGGGCGATCGGCCTACGTGGTGAAGCTAGCATGTCCGACCAGTGGCGGAGCTCCGTTCCGCTGGCGTTGTAACCCAGTACCACCTTTCCTATCGGTTCTGAGGTACCAATCCTGTCGTAGTCCACCACGGTCACCACCAAGTTCACTTTCTGAAAATCATCACCGCTATACCTTGTACAACCTCAATCCGACGTTTCAACCTGTATCTGCTCGAACGGTACTTCAAACGTGAAAGACTCATTGTAGTACGGATTCAGCGTGCACTTCTTGATGCTTGTCTTCTTCTTCTTCAGTCGCTTCCCGTTCTGCACCAGAGCGATCTTCACGTACGGATCTAGAATCGCGATTTTGTAAAAACGTTGGTGTGGGTGATGGTGTGCTTACCAGACAGTCCTCCAACGTCCATCTTCTTCAAGTTCTTCGCCTCTAAGATAACCACGGTGAGCTTTCCGGCTGTCGGTACGTATCGTAACGAGAAGCAAATGTCTCCCAACTTGTTTTCCTGTAATATCGGTCGATAGAGTGAACTAAACACGCTTGGGCACAAGCTCAATCACAGTATTCATCTGCGATGCTCTCGAGGGTCTCATCTACGTGGACTTGGAGGGGGCGAGTGTCACGTGACAACACGACATATAGAGAACATTTAAACAGACGGTTTGTAAAAGAAGTTGGTTTCATTGTAACGCATGCGCAATCAGAGAATAGTGTGGTCAAGCTTGACAGAAGTGTTATTCGGGGCATCGGTCGAAAAACGGACAGGGCTAGGGGAAGACAAGAAGGGGTTACAACACCTAAAACTGGAACATTTAGCGGTTGTGTGTTTGGCCTAAAAGCGATGGAACCAAAACCGACAGCTATCGGAAGTGGTGGTGATAGCTGTCCTCTTGGTAGTTCTAAATTTTGCATCGTGTAGGCGAGTTGTGATCTAGAGTCTGCATTTGGTCGGTTTTCTAAGTAGTGTAGAGATTCTTCTTCTAAACACCCAGCTCAAACCAGCTTGTCGTTAACTAGATTAACTGACTCGTCAACTAACACAGTACAGGATTGACTAACTATCGTTTCTGACTTGGCTAAGTAAAAAGTACGCTAAGAAAAAATGTTTTTAAATGTTTGAAAATAGTTGAGTAAAATACCTTAAGTAGACAGACATCGGGGTCTCCATTAAAAACAGTTAATATTACAAACAGCTAAACAGAGAATTTACGGTAAAATGTACTGTGCGTTTTAGAACTAACTATGGTGCTGGCATGCGGATATTTTTACACGGCAGACCTAAAATAGTTTAATCATTGATTTAACTCGAAAACAACATTAAAACCATTTGATTATCAAAAAAACAGATACCAGCCAGATGCAAATGCCAACAAAAGGGGTCATGCATATGCAGAATTTTAGGAACAAAGGTAAAAGTTTGTGGGGCAATCAAAGAGAAAAGTCAAAATTGTTAAATCTACATCACAAATATCGCGGCCGCCTCCAAACCGTCACCGGAACGTCGACGGTTTGGACGCGACCCGTCATCGTTCTTAACTATACTGTAGTAACAATAATAGTTGATATAATTGTAAAAAACGTTGTCGGTTTTGATGCAACATATTGAATATAATAAAAGAAACAACGACGTCCTGTTCGCTCGTACTTATATTCAGCCAGGACGCCCTTGCGGCAACTTAATACTATAGATGTATAAACTACAAGTGAGTAGCAGAAAGAAGCAAGTACTGAATAAAAAAACGTCGTTACGTAATTAAGTGGACTGGTTTATTCCTTTTGCTTTTTCCTGCAAAGATCGTGTAACAGTAGGTGAGAGATCTGATGACGCCTTTGGAGGTAAGTGGCGGGGGCGGCGTAACCCGATCTCGTCTACCGATGGTTAATTATATGATGAAGTATACTTACGTGAACAAATTGATTGTTTGGAAGCATCATGCATATGCGCGGCCGGCACAACCATACACAGCCAAACCAAAGCAGAGCAGAGAAATTTAGGGAAAAGAGAAAAAACAATTTACGTCAATACATGTCCATTGCATTGAGTTGGAGGTTATAGTCTCGATCAACTTTGCTTCCGTCGGCAGATCCTGAGGGCAGCGTCGGCATTCCGACGCTTCGTATTTTTTGCCATAAAGTATAAACTAGCAGAGAAATCTCAACATGACAGTAACTACTGGTCCCAATTCTAAAGTTAAGAATGAGGTAGAAAGGCTACCGCTCGCTTCATTTAACCTTAGAGACAATTCTATGGGTACACGGACCGCGTTCGCGCCCTGTGTGTGCTCCAACGTGTACCGATAGACTTGTGGGCATCGATGCTTAAAAAAGTATTGAATAATATGTAGTTTGAAACAGTACAAAAAAGTGCTATAAGTCTTCTGTAACTTGTGCAAGCATCCAATGGTCCGAACTGGGTGTGAAAAATCCGATTGAAGCAAGGACCGGACTATATTACTATCACAAGATAATTTGATTATGATATCACCTGACCGCCTTCGCCTTCCACACTCTGCAATTCGCGCCACTCCTCGATGGTCTGGGCTAAATCAATCTGACAAAGCGGAACTTTCACCTCACCGATTTGGTCGTGCTTGGAGAACCGGTCGAAGTCAAAAATCGCAAACACTAGGGTCTTATTCATTGCGTCGGCGTACGGTATGTTCTGCAACATCACCATCACAACCCCGTCAACTCACCCACCCGCCAACCCACCTTAAAGACGAACGTTTCATTGAACACCGGACTCAGGGTCTTGCGGTGGACTTTGGTCTCGAACTTCTTCTTCTTGTCTGGAAGCAGATACACTTTAACGTACGGATCAGAAGTGCCACCCATGTCAAGAGCTGGTAATTCCTCGGCCTGTATTACTGTGACGGATAAACTGTTTTGATTGAAGTCGTACTCGAGCTGCAAACGCCACATCAACCAAAGTCGACCCATCGTCACCACAAACCTTGTACTGGATTTTCCCCAACTTTTGCACCTCTGGTTTCTCCGCCTCGTCCGGCTCTTCCGCATTCTCGGTCAGTTCGTCCATGTCGGGCTGCACCTTCTCCTTGGAGGACGTCCCCAGCAAGTGGACCGCTTTCAAATCCACCGTTTTCCCCTTCTTGTCCTTCGGTCTCCACTTTCGGCAGCATCTTCGTATGCAGCAGAAGCAGATTCCGAGGATCACCAAGCAGATAGCTGCAAGAAAACCCAAATACTTCTACTATCAAGGACGAAGAGAGTCCACTCAAAAACATCACCCTGTTGATACAGCCAAGAGAAGCAAAAGAACAGTGGACGCATAAATTCACAAAAGTAGAAGATCTAGAAGAGTTCGCTATGGAATATCGAAAAGGGTATAGAAGCTCCAATAGCAAAGCACGAAGATTCCAAAGGAACATTACCATGAGAGTGTAATACACTTGTATCATCAAATAAAAGACCACAACAGAGACCGTTGTGATTATCGACTAGCTAGATTATTCTGGTTGACGAAATAAAGAAGGATATCGACAGGACTTTTACGTAAATTCCTTTTTGGAAACGGAAACCTTAAAGATTGAGACTTTCTGATTGATTTTTGACACAATAATTAACAAAAACTGGGAAGAGTTGATGCCAAAGCATTAGGTTTGTTCGTCTTTCGTAGCATCAACTCTTCCCAGTTTTTGGACAAATCCAAGAGTTACCGAATAGACGGATACAAGGGGCACGATATAGAAGATGATGCCGATGAAGCAGAAGTTGGAATATGAGAAGCAGTAGACGCTTTGGAATGGGTAGAAGAAGAGGATGAAAGAGACGGCAAGATTGTTGCTCTAGGAAGGGCAAGGGCGATTGACAATGTTTGATGGTTGGGTTTAATGACAAGGTGGTTGTTGCGTACCGATCACTATGGAGTAGACCATCCATGGTTGCATTCCAGTCTTTTGGGCTACTATTTTGGTGACTTCCTGGGCTTGGTCGATCACGGTAACTTTCGGTGTGGTGGATTCTGGTGCGCTGGATGATACTACGGAAGAGTTTGAGTGGCAGCTGGGTTGCGTTTGCGAACTTACGGATTTCGGGGGTGGTGGATTCCTGCTTCTGGACAACCTCTGGTACGGCGACGGGTGCATTTTCGGGCGCAACAGGACCGGTGCTCTCGGAAAGTATGGACTCCGTTGCTGTCTTAGCCTCGCGCTTAATTAGTTTAACTAGCGTAGAGTTGAACATTTCCTGGAAGAGTGTTAATTAAAACGAAGGCGTTTCCGTTTTAGATAAGAGCTTTCCTTTGCTCTTGACTTAAAAAGAAGAATGCTCAGGACGTGACATTATTATTGCGAGATCAATAAAATGGGCATTCTAAAGGTGACAAGAAGGAAGGAGGAATTTATTGCGAGGGACTGTGGGGAGAAGCTTCACATACTTTGACGTATTCAATTTAAGTAGGTTAAGACTGTAGAGCCAGTGGGTTGATTACGGAGTCGTAAAAACTCGTGACATGGAATCACTTTCTCGATAAAATCACCGTTCAGTAATACGACACTACTGGGGAGTAAAAGGAGCAGTAACCGACATCGCGCAGATGATTTGACCTTTAATTTAACACTAGCTCCAATAATTCAAATAATCGAAAAGGTTACAAAGGACGATCTCGATTACAATGGTTCACTCGGAGGATGCGCTTTATCAATTATTTGCTTTAAATTACGACCATATTAACTTTAACACCGCGATAAAATTATTGTTGACGCCGACTGCTATTTTTAGTAAAGCTCGACTTTTGCCTAATTAATCGATACGTTGACAAATTTCCAACCATTTTCGCCATCAATTAATCAAGATTTAAATCTCCCCGTCAATAACGAGCAACGCTATCGTCTTCGCCTCCGGCCAACTGCGTTCATCTCCAAAAGCACACATCTACTTACTTATCGGTGTTTGATGGACCTCTACAACTGACTTCTTCTACTTTCAAGAACTGTAGTACATCGTGTGAGCACTGCTGTCGTCTTCGGGCAGTATTTCTGCCTCAACTCGAGGAAAAGACGGGCGCAAGAGTCGGTAAAATGGCCACCGACAGCACCCTGCTGAAATCGATAGCAGAAGCCTAGTGGCGTACGCAAGATCGGACTGAAAGCTGGCGCATGGTGCCTGAAACTGCGATAAGGATAGCGAACGTTGTCCCGAAGCCTGCCGGAACGACTCCGGCCGTAAATTTCGTATTAATGCATCCGGAATTGGACACTGGAAACGGCGATAATTCCGAGACGTTGCGTAGGACGACAGTGACGTCAATAAGCGCGACCGCCGGTTTTTCCCCCAAGGACGCAGGACGAACAGGATCGATGGGGCTGGGTGGCGACAGCGAAGGCAACTCAAGAATCCTGCCGCGGACACACGGAAGTTGGGCCATCCGGACGCAGATGGCGCCTGGATTAAGTCAAACGGGTCGTGCGAAAAAACCACCTTTATTAACTCGGCACTGATAGTTTAAGTGTTCTTCGGTTCGATTTTTGAATTTGGCGGTTATCGTTGTCTGATTGGTTGTGACGTCGGCGTTATTATAAACCTACAATGACGTCGATGCTCTTTTTGTCACGACCGTGAAATGCGGGATAATTAGAAACCGATTGGAGCGCAATTCTCGCTCCGGTAGAAGAGCTAGTTTCTTCGGGGTTAAAAGCTTCAATTTATAATCCGGGAACTGGGGCGCGTTCGAATTTGCCGCCTGCGGCTACGTCCTTGCAAATCCATCAGATAGATCCCTTATCCTTTTGTGCTTTTTGAAAGGTGTTCTCTCGGTTTATTTTTAGGCCTCTCAAAACGCTATTAAAGTTTGAATTATAAATGTCTCCATTGATTCGGATGTTTTTGCGTATAAAACATGGATCAATCCATTACTGATCATATCGGGGACGTGCCGTATTAGAAGAGTTGGCGAGAGGACGTTGATAATATATTTAGTAGCCGGAAGCGGTCATCTGGCCGGCTTTTCTCTCAATGTATGTTTTTGCTGATATGGCATAATACCAGCCATATGCGATGTGTAGGGTCGTCCCTTTAAGGAGGTCTCGTGCAAATTTTATCAGTTCAAGAACCGGATGTGGAGGTGGATTCGCTCCTCGTTATGCTCTGTTGCCGTTTGTCGTGTTCTCGGAGTAAAATATTCAACTCGTCTGATGTCAAATTACTTAATAAAAGCCCCGTTTTGCTAGTGTGCTGTTATTCGCGTTTGCATACTGATAGAGAGCAGTTTTTTTTTAAAGGAGACTTTGACAATGGAGAAACACTTGGGAAATATTTGTAATGGGGTAGATTCTCATAAGTCCTAAAGTAGGACAGAGCAATCAGCTAATGTAGGTGTATCAAGAGGGTTTGCTGCTAATCCTTTGATGCTGTTAGATAGGAAGAATAAAATAACACCTCTGGTGAGTTTATTTTGCCTCGATGGATCTTGACAAGTGTAGGCAGATGAAAGAGGATATGGTAGTTGATAATAAAAGGGTTGGATTTCTCTTGATTACTTTACGCAAAGTCGTACGGTGTGAAATGTTTTCAGTCAAATTTATATAGTTATTTGGCAAAGCTCGTTTGTTGATGTAGTTGTTGGATTTTCTTTTCTCCACGTTTGAAATATTTCAGAGCAGGTTAGTCGGAAACCCTTTGTTGTGTCAAAACTAACAAGAGTCTAGACGGTAAAGAAGTTGCGTCCCTGACTGACGCGTTTTTACATTTGTTTCATTGTTTCGACGTTCAAATTTATCATCAAAGAGAAGTTAAATATTTTTTTGTACAATGATTTTGGCTTTTATTCCGTTTTAAAAGCACCCGTTAGATAATGTTTTAATTCTCTTGTAGAGGATGTGAATTGGCTTTTTTTTACTAGTGTAGCTGTGTTTGAACTTGGGCGAATTTCAACTTCAATACAGGATTAAAGCTGAAGAAGAAAAATTCTGGAACACTTAGTTCAAACACCACTTTGATTTTTTAGAAAAGTTCTACCGTCAAATAAAAAATCTAAGACAAGTTTTTAATGGATTTAGAAAATCTGCCAAAAATCAAAGCGCTTAAGAATTTGAAAATTTGATAGAAAGCTATAAATTAATTATTATGACACAATTTTATAAGATTTGAAGACCCGAAGTGGCACTGGGCCAAGATAAAAGCCAATTGACGACTTAACCTTACCCTCCTTAGTTGACTAGTGAATAGAATGAATCATATGGTAAAATGGTAACAAAATAAAATGAAACCATGTTTCTAAATATATTTCTATGGTCCACCTAAGCAGTTTTTGTTTAATGAGTTTAATGGTGTTTCTTTTTGAAAGAGTTGAAAACATTTTGATTTAGAGTTGACTTTTTCCTGCAGAGTCTCCCGCCCATCCACCTCTTTTTCATTCTAGTAACTACTCTTTATGTTGTTCAGTTTTATCTTAGCCCTTTTTTTTAGAGACTAGGTCTTTAGCCAAAATCAGTCTTATCTTATCAAATACTAGGCCCGCCCACCCGCCCTCTATTTTCTTAAAGGGTCTTATTTGCGAAAATCAGTTTTATCTTAGCACGCTCTTCTTATTTTAAAAACTAATTTTATTTCTGTTCAGTATTGGATCCACTTTCTAGCTGACCAGATAAAATAAATCACTAAAATGGAGGCAGGGTGGATGGGCGGGGTTAATTATATGTTCTTCTGTAGAATGAGAGTGGGGCTGTTAAAAAAGGATAAATAAGGTTAACCGATTTTTTTTGTTATACTATTTACTTTAAGATTTATTTCTAACTTTAGAAGACAAAATGAGAGAACGGGTGGGTGGGCGGGGCTAAGTTTGACTTTTCCTGAAGAGTGTTTTATAAGCAAGCAATAGCCCCATCCGTCCGCGCCTCCTCTTCATTCTAGTGACTACTCTTAATATTGTTCAGTTTTATCTTAGCAAGTACTAGCCCCGCCCACCCACTCTCTCTATTCTTAGAGCGTACGTGATTTGCCAACATCAGTCTTATCAAGTATTAACCCCGCCCACCTATCCAAGCTCTTCTTATTCTAAGGACTAATTTTACTTTTGTTCAGTATGGGATCCACTTTCCAGCAGATCATACAAAATTAATCACTGAAATGGAGGCGGGGTGGGTGGGCGAGTTTAATTATATGTTCTTCTGTAGAATGAGGGTGGGGCTGTTAAAAAAGGCGAAAAAAAGGTTAATCGTTTTTTTTTGTTATTCTATTTACTTTAAGATTTATTCCTAATTTTAGAAAAACAAATGATACAACGGGTGGGCGGGCGGTGCTAGTTTGAACTTTTTCCTTCAGAGTCTTTTATAAGCAAGCAATAGCCCCACCCATTCGCGCCTCCTCTTCATTCTAGTGACTACTGTTAATATTGTCCAGTTTTATCTTAGCAAGTACTAGTCCCGCCCACCCACCCTCTATATTCTTACAGGGTACATTATTTGCACATCAGTCTTATCTTAGCAAGTACTAACTCCGCCCACCTACCCACGCTCTTCTTATTCCAAGTATTAATTTTACTTCTGTTCAGTATGGGATCCAAGTTCTGGCAGACCAGACAAAATGAATCACTGAAATGATGGCGGGGTGTGTGGGCGGCGTTAATTATATATTCTTCTGTAGAATGAGGGTGGGGCTGTTAAAAAAGGAGAAAAAAGGTTAACCGATTTTTTTTGTTATACTATTTACTTTAAGATTTATTTCTAATTTTAGAAGACAAAATGAGAGAACGGGTGGGTAGGCGAGGCTAAGTTTGACTTTTCCTGCAGAGTCTTTTATAAGCAGGTAATAGCCCCGCCCATCAGCGCCTCCTCTTCATTCTAGTGACTACTCTTAATATTGTTCAGTTTTATCTTAGCAAGTACTAGCCCCGCCCACCCGCCCCTTATATTTTTAGAGGGTACGTCATCTGCCAAGATCAATCTTATCTTGGCAAGTACTAACCCCGCCCATCTACCAACGTTCTTCTTATTCTAAGGACTAATTTTACTTCTGTTCAGTATGGCATCCATTTTCTAGCAGACCAGATAAAATGAATCACTGAAATGGAGGCGAGGTGGGTGGGCGGGAATAATTATATGTTCTTTTGTAGAATGAGGGTGGGGCTGTTAAAAAGAAGAAAAAAGATTAATCGTATTTTTTTTGTTATACTATTTACTTTAAGATTTATTTCTAATTTTAGAAGACAAAATGAGAGAACGGGTGGGTGGGCGGGGCTAAGTTTGACTTTTCCTGCAGAGTCTTTTGTAAGCAAGCAATAGCCCCATCCGTCCGCGCCTCCTCTTCGTTCTCGTGACTACTCTTAACATTGTTCAGTTTTATCTTAGCAAGGACTAGCCCCGCCCACCCACCCTCTATATACTTACAGGGTAAGTTATTTGCCAACATCAGTCTTATCTTAGCAAGTACTAACCCCTCCCACCTACCCACGTTCTTCTTATTCCAAGGACATTTTACTTCTATTCAGTATGGGATCCACTTTCTAGCAGACCAGATAAAATAAATAAATGAAATGGAAGTGGGGTGGGCGGGCGGGGTTAATTATATTTTCTTCTATAGAATGAGGGTGGGGCTGTTAAAAAAAGAGAAAAAAGGTTGACCGATTTTTTTTTGTTATACAATTTACTTTAAGATTTATTTCTAATTTTAGAAGTCAAAGCGAGAGAATGGGTGGGTGGGCGGGGCTAAGTTTGACTTTTCTTGTAGAGTCTTTTATAGGCAAGTAAAAGCCCCATCCATCTGGGCCTCCTCTTCATTCTAGTGACTACTCTTAACATTGTTCAGTTTTACCCTAGCAAGTACTAGCCCCGCCCACCCACCCTCTGTATTCTTAGAAGGTACGTCATTTGCCAAAATCAGTCTTATCTTACCAAGTACTAACCCCGCTCAACTACCCACGGTCTTCTTATTCTAAAGACTAATTTTACTTCTATTCAGTATGGGATCCACTTTCTAGCAGACCAGATAAAATGAATAACTGAAATGGAAGCGGGGTGGGTGGGCGGGGTTAATTATATGTTCTTCTATAGAATGAGGGTGGAGCTGTTGAAAAAGGAGAAAAAAGGTTAACCGATTTTTTTTTGTTATACTGTTTAAGATTTATTTCTAATTTTAGAAGACAACATAAGAGAACTGGTGGGTGGGCGGGACTAAGTTTGACTTTTCCTGCAAAGTCTTTTATAAGCAG